TGTATAGAACGAACAATTTATCATAAGAATATTCCTCTCTCCTTCCATGCTCCCCATTACAACTAATTACGACCCTACTCTACCCTAACGTTTCCCACCTCCTTCGTAATACTACCACCATAATACTAACCATAGTAAAATAGGGACACGCGTAACGGCTGAAGTTTGAACAGACTGCAAGCATAAACGCATCTTATCTTTCGCTTTCGTTGCAGCTTGCTGGGATGCAAATGGACGATATCACTCTGTATCCTGACGTACGTGCCCTTCATGGCCGCCCAGTTTTACCCGAAATTTTACACCATGATACCAGCTGGATTGCTGTTGGGAATCGGTGCTGGACCACTATGGTGCGCCAAGTGCACCTACCTGACCGTCGCCGCCGAGGCGTTCTCCACCCTCTCGGACGTGACCGCTGACGTCCTCGTCACGAGATTCTTCGGTGTGTTCTTCATGTTCTACCAGATGGCGCAGGTCTGGGGAAATCTCATATCTTCGGCAGGTGCGTATGTTCGCGTAATTTCCACGAGGGGAAAAAAAATGAAGAAAAGTAAGAGGGTTAAGTCGGAGCAAAGTCGAGACCGCGATTTGCATCGGAGACGGTGCTGCTGGAACGAAGGATAAGTAAAAAAGTCATCTACCAGGGATATAATTGTGACGTCAACGATTAAGTCTCTGTACTTTCTTCTATCTTCCTTTTTTTTTCTGTGTGAAAAGCAGCTTGCAATTTGCATTTTTATAAGACGACCGGAGGAGGAAGTTTCTCGGCCGCTAACGCGGGGAGGTTTTATTATCGCAGAAAATAATCCCCCCACCGGGTAGTTTAAATGAGACTGGACTGAAATAGCAAATATTTCCTGGTTAGAAATTATTTGTTAGGTTTCTCGAGTGTGTTTTGAAGGGAAGTAAGATTGGGTTAAGAAATTAATTAATGAGACTGTTAATGAGTTTGTAGTTGAGTAGTTTTAATCGTTTTGATGTATTGGAGAGGGGAAGATTGGAATTTTTATATATTTGGATATGTATATATTTTATATATTTGTTATTGTAATGCAACGTGATTGAAAATAATTTTAATTTTCTGAAGTGGAGTACTTTTTGGTACTTTAAAACGTAAATTTATTTTTGTTATATTGCAAAACGAAGTGTCCAATTGAAAGTGCAAATATTCCAAAATCTTCGTATTTTATGTGTACAATTAATTATTATATCAATTTTATATTTCATTTAAGAATTACATTTTTTTTACCACACTTTCGTGCATAATCATACACATATTACTCAGAGCATTAATCAATTCATACAAATTATATTTTATTCGTTAAATATAAAAATATACTGGAAAGTTAATTAAATGGTAACACAGTACTTCGAATGTATTTTCAGAGGATCCTGCATATATTATTCAAACTATAATCAATTCATACAATTTATATTTTTTTCCTTAAAAATAAAACTATTCCCAAAAATTAATTAAGTGGTAACACAGTACTTCGAGTGTATTTTCAGAGGACCATACACATATTATCCACACTATAAATCAATTTACACAAATTCAAATCAAAAATAAAATTACTCTCAAAAATTAATTAAATGATAATACAATATTTCAATTCACACAAATTATATTTTTTCCTCAAAAATAAAATTATTCTCAAAGCTCATTAAATGATAATACAGTGCTTTGAGTGTATAATTCAGAGGATCATACAAATATTATTCAGACTATTTAATCATAAATAAAATTATTCTCAAAAATTAATCAAATAGTAATACAGTACAGAATTTGTAATTGAATTATTCTCAAAGCTCATTAAATGGTAATCCAGTACTCCTAGTGTATTTTCACAGGAATTGTCGCTGTAGGTATCTCAAAACCGTAATTAGAGTGCTACCATGAAACAAGACGGAATACCTATGAAGTAGAGTAACGAGTTTCTAGTCGAACAATCGTAATCGGTTTGGGAGTAGTTATCGGTATCTGAGACGAGGTCAATTTAATTATACTTAACAGTCCTCTGCCAGGAAAGCAGTAACAGTCCTTTCATCAGGCCGCCTTTTAAGTCGCAGCGTGCACGTTTTCGCGTATCTCTCCCAAGCTATCCTCCCCCAATTTCGTCCTGAAAATGAACGCTTTGATTGCGTCGCAATTTGCCGTAACGGAAACAATATCGAGCGTTTTCGCTGCGAATTTTCGCAACGAAAGCATCGCTTGTTGCTCTATTCGTCAGATGGAGGAACGATTAAGCCACGCCGAAGGCGACTAAGTGCCGTAAAACGAGGCGACGCAAAGCTACCTAGATGAACGAAACATCCGAGGAGATTCGTTTTAGAGCGGAAATTAATTAATTAACCAGCCGCGGGCTGGTCTTAGTTCCGCGACGCTTTGAAGGAAGGTATGCAAACAACGAATGCAACAAGCTACCCTTATTACATACTTCCAACGTGTCTCGTGACATTTCTGTGACGGCGACAATGTATCGTTCGCCGCACAGTCGAATGAACTCGCGAACGATAGATTCGGGATGGGAGTTTCTATAGAGCTGAGAATCTAATTTTCGGGTTACCTCGATACGCAAATGGGACGCGTTAGGGCAATCTCGTTGGCTGAATAGCAACTTTCAATTGACAGGCTTACCGTCGACGTTACTCCTCGAGTGGTCGTTTATTTATGGCAAACAATATTTACTGGGAAATGATTCTAATCGTCTGAATAATAATTGTAATGCAACGAAAATAATTTTTTATAAATTATTGAAGGTCTTGGAATATTTTTGACAATTTAAATTGCGAATATATTTGTCGTATATTATTGCAATATACATTTGTAATATTGACAAAGAAAATTTACTGGGAATTATTCTAATCATCTGAATAATAATTCTAATCCAACGAAAATAATTTCTATAAATTTTAAAGGTTTGGAATATTTTTGACAGTTGAAATTTTGAATATATTTGTACTATATATTTATCGCAATATACATTTATGACATTAATAAACAAAATTTATCGAGAAATAATTCTAATCCTCCTAATAATAATTCTAATGTAACGAAAATCATTTTCTATAAATTTTGAAAGTCTTGGAATATTTTTGGGAGTTTAAATTTTGAACATATTTGTACTATATATTTATGGCAATATAAATTTATGATATTGATAAACAAAATTTACTGGGAAATGATTCCAATCCTCCGAATAATAATTCTAATCCAACCAAAATAATTTCTATAAATTTTGAATACCTTGAAATATTTTTGTACTCTATTATTGCAATATCCATTTATGACATTGATTACTTGTAATCAATACTAATCACATATATAAAATATATGCTTATTATATTACTAATTATATTCCAATCTTAGTTGAATACATTTCTTACTTTCTTACATTTCTTCCTAATCTGAACATTGGAAAATTTCTTTCGTCTACAAATTGTCCTCCCCTGTTTTCTTTTTTTTATGAAAGAAAATCTCCGTAGAAAATGAAAACTTTCGAGGAACTCTGTCATCCCCTTAGGGAACTTTAAACTTTATGACGCGTCTGCTTTATATCGAGAAAGGGAAAAAGGAAGAATCTTCGGAAACGAAGCTCTAAGTTCGCACCTGAAATTTATGAATTTCAACTGATTTCATATTAATAAATCAAGGGAATGTGTGTTGACATCTGAGTGGTTTAGAGGAATTATTAATTCCATATCTGTTATTTAATGTATATATTTCTATAAATCAAAGCAATAATGTATTGTATGATTCTAAAATGCAAGTTGCAATTATTGTTATTCCTAAATATAAATAGAGATATATAATCCTATTTATAATCCTAAGTTCCTAAGAATTAATTCTAAGAAGAATTAGTTCCTAATTGCCGATGTCTATTTTCCTGATTTCTCTATAATTTAGTCAACCTTAATCATCATTAATCAAGTGACCCTTTAAATCATCACAAATTAATTATAATAAATATGACTTGAGAAGAAAAAACGAAACATCAAGCTACATCCAATAAAACAAAGCAAAGGATCTAACGAAAATTCGACTAAAAATTTCCTTCCTACTAGCCACGAATTTTTGTTAACATCAAAATTGAAAAAAAAAGAATCTAACACGTTCTCGTTTCGCGTTTACAGTTCTCTCGTACGCGATGGACGAGGTGCCAGCGAACGTCACGGTACTAAATAGCAGCGTCGTGGCGGAAGCGTGCGGGGCCAATTTCTGCGGCGCCACTTCCGGTGGCGCTGAATCCCCAGCAATAGAACGACCGCCGGAGGAAAGGATTCATCTGATTTCAAGCATTTATCTGGTCTGCATGATTGTCGCCTCCTTAATTGTCGCGTTCGGGGTTGATTCTCTCTCGAGGTAACGATCCAATTATTTGTTGTTTATCGTCGCGTTGCTAGCCGTGTAATTTCACGACAATTTTCCAGCTGAATAGAAACAGGGACGGTTACCCGAAGCTAAACTAACCATTGTTATTACGCAAGTTTTGCAGGGGTGGGAGGGGTATCCAATTAATTCGCCCTCGTAAATTATAAAATTGACACGGGCTGCATTTACGCCTTAGTCGGAGGCGATAATTCCGCTTGGTCGTGTACAGCGCGGATTTGTTTATGTTTCCTATACTATAGCGATGTTATAATAATGTATTCTCTAGCTGTATTCGGTTCCAACGAGTGTTGGAGGAACATTCTAAGAGAATTACGATTTTCGAGTATGTATTGGTAACGTTATTATTAAAATATAATATAATATTTTATATAAAGAGTAATACTTGCAATATTGTATATTAATAACATTGAATGTTACTGATATATACTCTGAAATCAAACATAGTTGCTTTAGGACATTTCTCGAACACTCAGAAAGTGTACATATACATGATATATATTCATTACATTTATCTAAAGTTTTTTTTTTTTTGTTGAAGCTTTGAAACCTCAAAAGAGAGATTTATTTATTTTATATGTTGTGTTAACAGTTTACAGTAAAGACTGGATAAATGCAAGAAAATTAGAGCCCAAACATTGCATATAATATATAATATATATTTGTTATATTTATCTACAGTTTTTTTTTTGTTGAAGCTTTGAAATCTTGCATATAATATATAATATATATTTATTATATTTATCTACAGTTTTTTATTGTTAAAGCTTTGAAAGCTCAAAAGAGGGATTTATTTATTTTATATGTTGTGTTTAATAGTTTACAGTAATGACTGAATAAATGCAAGAAAATTAGAACCCAAACATTGCATTTATCCAGTCGAGGTTTCTATTCTGTGTTTACTTTAATTTAGCTCAAGTCGAACGAGTAGAAAAGGACAGAGAGTGAAAGAGAAAGAGGTCCGAAGAACAAAAGCAAATGGCCGAAACGTATCGGTGAGACTATAGATCCTGTCTTGCACTTATCCAGTCTTTACTGTATATCCGAGATAAATAAGCTACATAGTATTGGAAATGCGTCTTTGCTAACATACTAACCCAAAACGCTAGAGAAGTATACCTAAATGCAATTTTATTGTGCAAAGAAATTTAATTCTTATTATTGTTTGTTTAACTCTCAATGTTATTACGTAACAATGTTTTTCATTTAATTTCGTACTCGACAATTAAAAGTATATGGTTGAAAGATCTCAATATCATATTGAAAATGCGTGCAAAAAATAGAAACGTGGAAGAGATACGCACGAAGGGAATTTTTCATGTAAATTATTTATCGCACTCTCGTGTCTGTATTGGCTCTACAACAGAGTTTAAAAATCGAATAAACGATTTATATTTAATTATAAATAAATGGACGTTAGGTATTCTTGGAATTATCAGGAAATTAATCCGTTCGGAATATATTTCCCGTGGAAAAAGTAAATGAAATTTTGTGTTAAATTGTATATTTACCCGATCCTGGAAACGAATCGAATGGAGATGCACGCTGATGTTCTTGCAAATGTGATCGTCGAAAATATAAAATCTTGTTAATTGAAAAATCGTATCGACTTTTAAATCAACGATTTATTGAAAATCAAACACGGCGTGAAATTAATACTTCATCAAATGGAATAAAATTTCAAGAGATGTAAAATTGTAGGTTCATGTGATGTTTTGTAGATTGCATTAATTTAATCATTCACCTGTACTTATCATTAAATTAAAAATATTTGAAGGCACTTCTTTTGGTTAGAACAATGCACGTCTATCAAACAATAAATTTTTTTCAAACGCAGTGGAGAGTTTACAAAAAAAAATGTTTATATTTATTACTTTCGTATTTTGAAACAAAGGAGGGAAGAATGAAAACAAACCTTAATTTTCGCTTTTTTTTGTCTCTCCTTGAGTCTCCTTTCACAAATTATCAACACCATCTTCTGTTAGTTATAGCAATGTTCCCAAATCTTGATACTCACCAAATTACACTATTTACAATAACACTGAACACTGTTTAATATTATTTAAATATATATAATCGTACGTGTTAATTCTCTCCTCAGAAGCACTAAACTACCCCTACACCGTTTTTCAAAACAATTAATCAAAGCTTATTACAACTATTTAGTTCTTCGAAATAAGAAGCCTTCGGTAAAAATTGCGAGTGAATTTAAAATTCAAAAATGTGAAAATTGTTCAAGGACTGAACTACCCCTGCACCATTTTTCAAAACAATTAACCAAAGCTTATTACAACTATTTAGTTCTTTGAAATGCGAAGTCTTCGGTAAAAATTGCGAGTGAATTTAAAATTCAAAAATGTGAAAATTATTCAAGATTAAATTATCGCGTAGGAGTCGTTCGGTGTCTAGTCAAGAACTGATTTCAACAGAGGCTGTGGTATGTCCTCGCGGATGCTACAATGGCGAAGGAGGGGTGAAGGGATGCTAGAAGTTGGGTCTGGGGTGGCACGCGCGGCGAGGATAATTAACCGCGATTTACTTGGGTTTGCTATACCAGCGATCGCTATCGAGGGTGAATAGAATTGAGACGCGAAAATTGTGGTTGACCGTGTTGATAATGGCGACCGCTAGGACCACGATCTCTGACGAATTAATTGGATCGAGGCCGTTGCTCGCAAGCTGCAAAACACAAAATTCCTGGTAACCGATGCAATCCAAGTTCCTAGAAATCCTTCATACGTGACAAAATACGGATGAATTATTATTCTGATATTTAAAGTCAATTTGTGAGGTTAGGAAAGCATGATTCTTATCAAACCGTATATGTTTTAATTAAAGAGAGAAAAAATTCCAATGTCTACAAGAAACAAGCGATATAACTATGAAAGAATATATGAGGAAATTAAAGAAATAAATTTTATACATATTGCACGTAGCACGAGAAAGGGACAGAACGTATTTCATATTCTCTCAGTAGGTGGCAGCCTAGCATCTAATCTGAAAAATAGCAAGGCGCGAAATTCAATAACAATATTAACTGAAATTATAATTAGAGCCAAGAATATTGAGCCTCAAATTGTGCACATGGTCGCAACGAGCATCGAACTCTACTACAAATTCAAGTTCAAGTTCGCATATTTCGAACAGTGCTTTAGAAGCTAATCACACGCAACTCTCATACTCTCCATCCAAAACTACCGTACCTAATAAAATCATGAATCACAACTCTCTGAAAAATATCCCCGTATTGTTATCGCAAAGCCGAGACCTCCTAAAATCCCTAATTACTACGATCCAGAGAATAATGGTTCCGGGCGTGCATCGTCCGTCGTTTCGCGGAGAAGCCGGCGTTATGAGAATCATTCTCATCAGAGAAATATCGGAAACCAATATGCGAGTCGCGTATGGAGTTTCCGATCACCGGAACGCACGAGTACATACAATATACGAATTTTTCTTCGGCGGGAAAACAAGAAACGAGAAAAATTCCCGTTGGCAATCGACTAAGCCGAGATATATGAGTGTCTAGGGTGGTCCGCGATCCTACGTTCCGCGTTGGATTTGCAACCGATGCGAAACGCGTCGCGTATAGGATCGTAAATCGTCGTACACGTGTAGATTGGCAAAGACCGAATGAATAGAGCGTTAATCCGCGAGTAGAATGCAATAATTAATCGAGAACGATGCGTCATGGTCTGATGTGCGTCTTGTGACACCGACAGGTACAATAGAGGGAGATCTGGTTCTGGAACAGGATTGTCTGGAATCAAGTTACTGGCCGTGACATTGAAGCTGTTGAAGGAAAAGAGTCAGCTCCTCATCTTGCCTATAATAATTTTTATCGGAGCTGAGCAAGCGTTTCTGTTCGCCGATTACAATGCCGTGAGTAAATTTAGGTCTGATTATTAAAATGCGGATTGTTATTAAAAATACCTTCCAATTAAATTCACAGCAGAAATTAATTAACTCCACTTTTTCAAAAATCTTAAATTTAAATGTCAAAGCACTTGGTATAGTCATAATTTTTCATATTTATAATAAGTTTCCTGAATAATAAAGATTAATATCATTAAACGATAAAATTCTTTTGGCCATTGAATAATAATTTATTTACTTCTCAGCTTTTCGATGTATGAAATGAACAGCTAAATTAATGAATAAAATCTGAATTACAAAATGAAATCTTTCCTGAATAATAATAATTAACGTCATTAAACGACAAAATTTGTTTAACCATTGAATAATAATTTATTTACTTCTCAACATTTTGATTTATAGAATTAATCGATTTGTGAAATGAACAACTCAATTAATGAAAATAAAATCTAAATTACAAAATGAAATTGTACTTCAAGAACTAAATGTATCGACCCTGAAAACTTTTCAAGTGTCATAATTAGACTGCGGATCTTTATCCAATAATAAAATCTTCGGAAACGTGCCTACAAAAATTGAACCTAAATAGGAATTTATTTTATTCTGCAAATATTATAACATGAACATTACTTTCAATCTTTTTTATAGTCTTAATTCCCATGGTCTACCTAGAATTTATTTAGTAATTCGCTCAAACGGTTTGTTCTAGTCCTTCGTGTCATGCGCATGGGGAATCAGCAACATTGGCTACGTGATGATCTGTTTTGGGATCACAAACGCCGTAGCTGCATTAGGCGCTGGGTCTCTAATGAAACTGACGGGACGAAAGCCTCTAATGATTTTCGCTTTCTGTCTTCACATGGGGATTTTAGTGTTCCTGTTGCAGTGGAAACCGACTCCTAATCAGACCGCCACGTTCTTCCTGATGTCTGGTTTATGGGGTATCTGCGACTCCATGTGGCTGGTGCAAGTCAATGGTAATCATCTCAAGTATCATTCCATGCCAAGTCAATCATTTCACGCCTAGAAATTCCCAACGATTCGAATATATTGCAGTTTACTGTTTCCAACATTATTTAAAAAATAGAAAAGTCCACAGTCCAAGAGAGGATTTTTTTTATTTTCTATGTAATTTAATTATAGGATTTTCGTTTTGTGCTATAATCAATTTAGTTTAAAGTTTGAGTCCAGTTGTCCTATTTAAACAATTTCGAAATCAATATTTCGATGACTTAACACGTTCACGCCGACGTGTACCACCGGTGGCTCACGCTCGCGTGGCTATCAGACGCCAGATACTACCGCGCCGCCCCGTAGCGAGAACCTCTATTTTCGTACAGACTTCACAGTGTAACTCCAGCTAAATTCCCGACGCTGAGCTCGAATTCACAAGTAATCGATTTGGCATGGAATGATCCGTGCATGATCTGAAATGTTGAGTCTCTCTCCTATCCAGTTCGCATACCAGATATAGGGTCTGCGGACAGGATTTATGTTTCAAGGATATTGTCAGTTACACGAAGGCTTTGCTATGGATTCGCTATCACATTGTTCGAAGTTTCCAAACAATGTGACAGACACTAATTAAATCTGGAGCTAAGCCGATATCAATACTGTCTGTTACATTGGTGATCGGTTGTCAAAAGCAGCAATTGTAAACTACGGAGGCTTCTTTGAAGGCTCCCTAAAACAGTCATCGTCATTTTATGTTATTAATTTAAAGAAAATTTAAAGAAGAGGATTCTCTATTTTGATTATTTGAAAAATCTTTATGCTTCCATCGCAACAACTTTTAAATCCATCTTGGATCGATAGAGACTATGGTGAGATACTTCTTACTGTTTGCTGGTAAGGCAGGAATTAAAATAATTTAAAGAATAATTTAAAAATTTTACACGAAACAGTAATCATCATTCGCTATATTTATGTTATTCTATTAATCGTAAAAGAATTGCAACCTCAGTTCCATCGTCGAACGATAAAGTGAGGGAGTTTTATTTATAAGGGTGCAAAGTCATGTAACTTGACTATAACACCTAATGTACCAGACTTGCATTTATTCATTGTGTATAATCATTTAATTCTTGTCTTGCATTACTTTATATTGACAGTCTATAACTTGAATACCTCGAAATTGCTAAACCCGTACTGTAGCTACGATGAAACATAGTTATAGCATCTGAGGGTTGAGATATTTCCCATGTTCTTACCTTTCACTGATAAAGAAGATATCCTGCTAGCATTATATCGACCGTGATATGGAAGAGTTTTTATCGGTCGACTGTGGGTAAGAGGATGCAGTTTCCTGCCTTAGCGACTGGACGAAGGTTACCTTTCATTCCGATGTACAGGCACATCTAGGTTCATCTAGGGTCACGTAGGTTCATCTAGGTGCACATAGGAGCGCAATTGGAAGATCATTCGCAAGATCATTCTCTACAGTATCAGCTGAGATGTCAATTTTATATTTTTTTTCCATTTTCTACAGTATCAGCTGAGATGCCAATTTTATCAATTCTTGCCATTCTCTACAGTACCATCTGAGTTGTCAATTTTATCATTTCTTGCCAATCTCTACAGTACCATCTGAGATGTCAATTTTACCTTTTCTTGCCATTTTCTACAGTATCATCTGAGATGTCAATTATACCAATTCTTGCAGTTTCCTAAAACTTATTAATAAAGTTAGTCGAGCATAATCATCGTCGCTTCATATAAAATTCCTACTAGCCTCAGGGTTCTCTGATTAGAGGATCCTTTTATAAAAATGCAAACCTTTTCTGACACTTGATCACAACCGCTCTAAATCACCCTATCATCTGTACCCTGCATCTGCCATCTGTCTTCTCCATAATTTCCACTGTTCACGCTTACAGCCCTGTCTGGGATACTATTCCCAGGCAAAGAGGAAGCAGCCTTCTCGAACTTCCGTTTGTGGGAGTCAACTGGCTCGGTGATCACCTACGCCTACAGTCCCTACCTCTGCACCCACATGAAGATCTACGTCCTCATGGGAATCCTCTGTCTCGGAATGGTGGGCTACGGTCTCATCGAGTGGACCGGGAAGACGGACAGAGCCGTGCCAGCATCCAAGCCCGATTTCGAGTTGGTCACGAACAGCGATCCGAATGACACTACGAAACTTTGAAGCTATGCAAACATAAGCTCCTCCTAGACGTTAGGACATCGAGCACTCCAGCGAAATAATTGTACGATATTGCAGTACTTACCGTTTCGTACAAATCCAACACAATTGAGATGTAAATATGGAGATGTAAATATATCTCTCCATTTGGCCTGATAAGAAAGTTTCGAAGACGTAGGCGTGCCTTCGCTACATAATCGCCAGGGCTTCCGTTCAAAGAGATACTGATGAATAATTTCAGAAAGTTCGGACGCATAATCGTGTAAATAATATATAATTCCGTTATACATAGAAATCATACATAAATGAGCGACGTACATAGTGTATTATGTACAGAGTCGGTGGAATGCGCAGTCAGGGCCTGAAGGTATGCAATCTTTGTGTGATTTGTACCACAATATATGTTTTTATTTTATTCTTGTGGACACCTACTAGATTTTACACAGGTATTTTTTTCGCTTAACCGCTAAGGATTCTCGTCTCCGTTCACTTTTAAATACGTAGTTTAATGTTACATCGTGTGTCTAGGTGCTAACATTCAAGCTAAAGCTACGGCTGCTTAATTTAATTGTATACTTAATGTGTTTAATTGCATTCGACTGTTCCGAGTGTGTAAATGTAACTGTGTGTAAATGTAACTGTGTGTATGCCAACGTATGCGTGTGTTACGTTGAACACGTGCCACTGTCGCAACGTATATGTTTGCGTGTGTTCTGTATGTATCGTATGCTCGTCGTTTAATGCGCTGTCACGATCAATTGTCTCCCGTCTTTAGGATCGAAAAGGCGTTAGGCGAATTCACCGACCGTTTTACGCCCGTTTGTTTCCTATTCTCGTTTCATCCACGATCGATCCTCTCACGCTGGATCTACGCCCGCATGAATAAATCGCGACGTGGAATCAATTGACCCTGCATCTTGTCATTCGCACGTGGTCAAGACTCGCCTGATTGTATTTGTGAATCGTGTTGGCTAGCTTAACCATCGTTTATGTACAATTCAAGTTCTGCAGTTCAGTTATATACTTTATAAAACGTAGTAGGAACTTTGGTTTCGCTGGGCAATGTTTCAGAAGCAGTTTCCTCTTGTTTCGCTTGCAAACGAAAAAAATTCCGCCTTCCCGTGGTTCGTCGTCGTCGTTTTGTTTTTCTTCTTCTTTTTCTCTACTTTTCCATTTTTTCTTTTTCGTGTGTCCGTCGTGTATTTTGTTTCCGTTCCGTATTTTCTTTTCCTCCTGGTAACGTTATTTTTCACCGCGTACTTTTGGACAGCCTGAACAAGTGATTTGGCCGGAAACTGTTATAAAACATTCGCCCGTGGATCTATCTTCCTTAGAAATATGACACTCACGAATACAATTCACGATTTTTTTTTTTTTGTGTGTAATACTCATGTTTATATTTCCGTAATGATCTATTTGAATATCAATTTCACGAAGAAAATACACAAGATTCGTAAACTTTTCTCTCTCTCTTTTTCGTTATTCAGTGCTTCGCTCTCTCTCTCACATTGTTTTTGTCATTGTTCGTCCGCGAACATCCGCTGCGCACGCGTCATTCTCAACCCCCGCCCTCTTTATTTTCTCTCGTATAACAAAATTTTATAACCGGAATATCTCTGTACAAACGTGTTTATTTTTTCTCGCCACATTTTTATTTAAAAATGACAACTTACCCCCTCCCAATCCCCAGTACTCAAAATTTTGAATTTTTAATAGTATCCCCGCCCTTCAACCCTCCCCTTCTCCTCCTCATCCCTCCCCCGGAACCGTGCCGCCATATTCGCTCGTATGCTACTACACCGTGTCATCCACTTCTCGCCTTTTGTTCTGTAATCGTCTTTCTTATTATTTCTTTTCTTATTTTTTTTTTTAAACTTTTGTTCGTTTTGTATATCTCTTTCACAATGTGCTTCGTTAGGAACAGATCACTTTGCTCGCATCGTATCGTAACGGTAGGAGTAAAATACATACCTTAAAGTACGCGTGTGTAATTTACCTTTTTTTCATATTTTTTTTTTGTTCATTACCCTTAGAAATTTATCTCGTTAAACCATGTAAATTTTCATTCCCATGAATCGTCGTAGCTGTTCGCAGCTATTACGATATTAAAAGTATTAGTAGCTTTTATTTAATATTACAGTCCCTAGGTGTCTCCTTAATATGTACACGCTACCCTCGCGCTCCTAGCTACGTTTCGGTAAGGATCTCGTGGTTAATATCGTCGAGTCGACCGCGATTGGTAGTCGGAGGCCACGCCTCCCGCCTCCGGACGCGTCGGGCGCGAATCGAGAGCGTCCACGCGCGAAAGGGAGGGCCTAAAGCCGCCGGTGGGGGTGCAAAGCCGCGCCCCCTTTCTCCGATGACCTCGAACGACCACTCGACGTCGTCTGGCTGCAGTTATCGTGTAATGATTAGCTCGATACAACGGGAAGGGTAGTTTCGGATAGTACATTCTGTTTATGTGTGTGTGTATATGTGTGTTATTTTTTTCTCTTATACGCACAGTCATATGTGGTAATTATTTAATCGAGTTTGAAATATCGAAGAAAATCGTCGTGTTATGAGAGATGGGTGTCGCCTAGAGTATCGTTTATTACACAAGAAGGAAAATGTCCGAGAGAACGTCGGTGGCGCGCTATTTAAACGACTATTTACCTTCAGTTAGACGCGTGAAAGAAAGAACTTCTTACTTAAGCGGGAACGCATTCAAAGAAACGCTATTATCACTATCGATTACCGGGAGTACATGACTAATATCGTCAATCGTGGTCGATATTTAGCTTGAATAATCGCATATTCGCTCGCACGTCGAAAGAATCATTCCTCTGGATGCGTAAATATGGAATTCGTCCGCGGAATTGTGGAACTAGCTCGTCCATGATCGTCGCGTGGCCCCGCCCACAGGTTCGAACGTTCGAATCATCGATTCGAATCGACGCCCCTTAGCAGTGAACGCGTGATTCATCGGCTCGAATTAGTCTGCGTTTGTCGCACGACAAATTTGCAACCGAATCAGAATCGTACAACATTTCTGCTCGTTGCATGTGATGCGTGTATTAGAACGCATTTATTATAAACAATTTGTATAGGGTGACTCGAATGAAATTGCCCAGATTGGACGAATTGAATTCAACTGGATTACTCAATGTCGCTTCTGCCGTTGCAAATCAAGCTTAGAGCAATATTTACTCCTTGTTAGCTTCTTCCGTTAGATGAAGGATAGAAAGCAGATTTGCAAGTTCTGTATGACCGTGGGGGCGGAGTAAAGAGATAAGAGGCGGCACGGGAGGGCGGAGCGTGGAGACTGGAGGGCGTGGCCAGTGAGTGTGGTGGGGATAGCCTCTCGTCAGCGACTTCGAGCGGCCAATTGATTCGGTTCCGACCAAGATGCAGGTCAGCGCTTTGAAACTCATATTAAAGGTGATTCTAATCCATTCGAATCATTGGTATTTAGTTCCTGCTTTAATTGGAACCTGCGTGTCTCCAATTAAAGGGCAAATTGGATTAATTGATTCGGCTACAAACTCCCCGCGACAGACGGGGACACGTTCAGTTCGAAACCTCGATTCAATCACCAGCGGGCATGTAGATCGAACATTTAGGAACGAAAGATGCGTAAATGTTTAATAGGTATACCTCGTATATGGCAGATTATTACGGACTAGTGTTTCCTTTTTTCTTCTTCCTATCCTGCAGAAACCTCGATCGCCTTTTACATTCCTTTCTTTCTGGTTCGAATACAATTTTAAGAGCTTCAGGAGGATCCTTACGATCGCAGTATACTTTCAAAATCGTTATTGCATTTAATTTTACTCGCTACAGATTTCTTCAGTTCCATTTCTTCGTTTTTCTTTACACCTTTACCGTTCGCCTTTCCTTTTCCTTTTTTTTTTATTCTTTTTCTTTTTTCGTTTAGCAGATCTCGAGATACACGCGTAATTTACAGACGAGCACACCCAGAGAACAATACGGTTGGAAACAGTTTAACGAAGCCCCGTAAGAAAAATGGTCGTTCGATCGACAAAGAACAGAACTAAATTGGTACGATCGTCATAAACGATATCGGCGGTACTGTAAAACATTTCCGTTGCTATTTCCTCGACAAATGAATTGTATCCTTGTGTGTATATATATTATCATGTATGTGGCATGATGAACGTGGTGGTATTGAGTTGATACTGTTGTTCTCGTTGCTTCATTTCTGTGTTCAGTGGACCCACTGTCCATCCTGTGATTCCTTAATTCTGGATGCATTCTTCGGATGAGGATAACCTCGTTCCGTCAAGATCATCATACGTTTCGTACGATCCTCGTTTGTGCTTCGTCCTCTTTGGACAGATGATTCTCGGTAGATGGAAGCTTCTCAATTGTTTTATGAACTAGTATTATCTGTGCGATTACTTGCGGAATTCCTTACCCTAAATTGACGAATCGAGACGCAGACGTGATAATTGCTGCCCGATCGACCAGTCGCGCACGGTCGTAGCCCATGAGAAATTTCTCTCGAATATCAAAAGGATAAAACGCGGCGAACACCCGGAAAGAGGTCACTCAGGGGCTCGCAAAATTTAAAACTCTGTTTTACCATGGGCTGGTATTCGCGTACCATTCGTCGGTGTGTAAGGATTCGTTTACCGTACGTCGGTAGATAGGTAGCATCGGTTGGTACCTAATCGACTGTCGATAGGAAGGCGACCTACGTTTTCTACCGTCGATAAACCCGTTCGGACTCGCGATTTTCGATGCGATCAGACATCGAACGAGTCGAAGAGGACTGGACAGAATTATCAATACCCGTCGCTCGACTCCTGTACATCACATATTCGTAGATTAAAATTATTTACAGGTGGGTCTCGTATACGCCTGAAAATCACATTGATCTTTACGCCGACCGGGGGGGTTACGGCGCGTGTTTTTAAAAATTCAAGCCCGGCGCTGGCTGAAAAGCATGAATTTTTAAAGTGTTCCCTTAACGCACCGATTAATCGTAATATTTCAATAATACGACACTTAGACTCGGTTGTCTTCCTTTTAGGGAAGGGAATCTGATGTCCTAGGTGATCCAAATCTCGTGGAATACTTCTGTTCAACGTGTGATCGAGTCCTTAAAGCTTTTCTTGCTCACTGTTTCCTTTCTTGGGACGAATTCCGCTGCGGGCTGTTGCTTTAGTGGATAGTCTTCGACATCATCCGCGCGGCGTTCTTCTGAGCTTGCCTCTTGTTGCAAAACCAAATCCTTATCACCTCCCGATCGTATCCGAGACGATGCGCTAATGTTGTGACATCGTTACCTGGAAATTAAATAGACCAAAATTAATTGTGAGACACGAATGAATATTTATAATTTACTATTTCCTTTATGCAATGCTTCTTTTTCCTTTTAGAGTGTGATTATGCTACATACACATGGCCAGTGGAGAATATCAAGGAAACTATTTTTATTTAACTGGTTGCTTAAGGAGATCCACTAACTTTAATATAATATTGCATATCGCTTTAGTGAAATGTTAAAATCTGATACACATTAGGCAAATGAAGAATGTTATTATAGATAAATGTAGTCTGACAATCAACTCCATCATAGTATCATTTAAAATATTAAATATACTATTGCTTGAGTGAAACGTCCAATCTGATATACATCAGACAAATGAACGTTATTATAAATAAATGTAGTCTGACAACCAACTCCATCATAGTATCATTTAATATTCTTTATTAACCTTTGTTATTTTCTCCTGTATACCCTGCATCAACTAAAGAAGTGTTCGATATAATATTGCCTAAATTCTATTTTATTTTCTGTTACTGCCTTCCAGGAAAATATATTTATATTTCAGCAGGTTTCTTAATATCGAATTTGTTACAATAAGAATTTTTCTTTTCGGCTGATTACTCGAGTCGATTACCATGCTATCTAGTACGAGCGCAAGGAAGAGCGCAGCAAACGCTATTATGTAAATGGAAGAAGAAACGTTACCACTAGGATGAGTCTGTAAGTCGAAGTGAGCGTTTAGCTGTGCCAGGGCCTGCGGGGTGAACGAAGTTCGTCGTTTTCGCTTCTTGCTGGGTTCCACCCCGATGAAATCCGTCAGATGATTCGCCCCGCTTTTGTACCTGTAATCACGCAGACTGTTTCCGCTCAGGTTCGACAAAACTTGCTCTCTCATCGATAGACTGTTTTAATAAATCAAATCGACCAAAGAAAAATCGCAGGAGGCCTTGGACAATTTTTATTCATAGAATATTCATAGAAAAATTCATAGATGTTTTGATTATTATTCGAGGGGATGGAATGAGAAGAAAATCTGTTCGCAAGTTAAGCTCTATTCGTAGATTTATTTCTGGGAGTCACCCTCGAAAGGAGTGCTTAGAGTACCTGACTAGAATTTTCAATCGCTTGAAACTTTAAAGTGGAGCATCTAACACAATATTGCCACTCTCTACCTACGTTCTATTTTTAATTCTTTAAAATTACTGCTTAAAAAAATGTCATGTTTTGTTATCTGGTACCTAAATATTATAATTACTCCATGTTCTTCAGCAAACTCAGACATTTTCTTTCGCAACATGAGTATACGAATCTTATAAACTGAGAGAAATTCGTTTAATTTATTCATATGCGAGTAAAAAATCGTTCAACTCGGAATTGATATACTCTAAAAAATCCGTATTGATTTCCTAGAAATGAATTTCTAGAAAAGACTTCAATTTGGATCAATTTACCCAGTGCTCTATTTTCCTCTGCTATAGCCACATTTTAAATATGCATTCTATCAACGTGAGATAGAAAAATCTAGAGAGAATGTATCACAACTTTTTGTGTTACGCGACGTTTAATCAGGGCCAGCAAATGTCCCGCGACAATCATAATTAAAAGCCAATGTTTCAGTTCCTAAAGATGACAATTCCTAACGATAGAAGAACTCTTACCGAACATTAGATATTCATTCGATATCGTCAGTGGTTTGATTTAGAATTTTCGAAGACGATCGTATATCCTTGCTATGTATGCAAATTTGTATTTTTATAGCAAACTGTATTATTTTGAAGTTAGAACTCTTGAAATTTGGAATGAGTATATTGGTTCAGTTGACTCAAACGATTGTTTGAAATATTAATGATTCAGTCTTTCCTAGGTTAAGGATATGTATGTATTCAAATTTGGCGGATTTTTTTGTTGCCACTGCCACCTGTCGATCTTGGCGTGTAATGCTATTGTCGCGCATGCTCTAGCGCGAAGTTAGTCACGTGACTGTGTTGCCGCGTAAAAGACAGTCTATATTATTGCGTGTGCTAGTGTCAAGAAAGACGTACAATTTTCTAAGAATTATTCCTAAAATTACCCATTATCATTAAATTTCCAGAGCTTGGACTTAAAGAATTTTACTTCTTAACCTCTAAAATGTTTAGATTGCACAGTAAAGAAAATTCACAAACAAGACCTGACGATACAAACATGTTTGTAGTAACATCTCCTTTGAAATGATCAACTAACTGTATAAGAAAGTCTAAAATAAATGCCAGATGTCCCCAAATAAGTTTTTCATTACGAATACAGAAAAGTTGTAGTCAACGTGTGAAGTTTATTCGTGTACCTATTTATAAACGAAGCATTTATTTGGTCCAGATAAATTTCTGTAATAGACATAACGGGTGAGAATATTTACAGGACCGACTGTAGACACACAAACCTACTTTATGGGCTGAAGGCTGCAATTAGCAGCGAACGAAATTCTAGTTAACGTCGTAGCGAACGCTTAGTCGTCGTCCCGCCCTCCAGAAAAACAGAAATCAGAACACGTTCGCCGATTTCGTCGAGAAAACTCAATTTCCATCTCACGCTGGGCGCAAATACGCCCCTCCCGATCATGCTCTGATCAAATATTAAAACAAAACACGCCTGTCGGTCGTCTGTTAACTCGGCAAACTTCCTCCGCATCGAAGCGTCGCGAAACTGGAACCGGAACATCGTAAACAGAAGTGTTCGTCGCGGGAGACCGCCCTCAACCTCGACATTCATCTCCACTGGTTCGCTGACCGATCCAGCTGCCCCTCTTCCACGTCGAACAAAAAAAGGCTGGCAACGTTTTCACGTTTTCACGCAGAATTTACCACGTTATTAATCCAACGAAACTTTGTAAAATTGCTTTGAGATTGACGGTCGAGTGTTTCGGAAAAAAATTTGAAGAGCGAAGAAATGATCGCTAAATGATTTTAAGATAGAGTATTTTGAATATAGAATAATACAGAGAGCTGGTGGCGCTTTGTAGGCCGAATTTTGTTTCTGCGGACGACTTGAAAGGGAAATCTGATATTTTAGGTTAGGTTTGGTGTTGTAGGTTAGCTTTGATATTTTATGGCGCTGCCAACCGTTCATCGTTATTGGTATCAGAAATATTATGTAAAACACCCATAGACATTTTTATACGTACAAGATTCTATCAACAATTAATACAACACTGTTTTATGTATGTAAAAGGCACCACGCCATATGGTGTGCGTGTTTGATAAGATTTACTTGAGTCACGAAGCCAAAGGGAGACTAACATATACGCACATACATCCATACACATGTTCATATGCGCAGAATTGGTTCAAGAATGAAATGCAACGAAGCTTAAATACTAAATGAATTTTTGATAAACAATTCCTAGGATGTAAAGGGTCATAGAATCCAACATACATGGTGATACACATATTCAAACATGTACAGACCTCTGCAATTATTATTTTTTGAGAATATGGGAGCATCATGGCTCTTACACTGGTGCTCCCCTTTTTTAAAAATATAATAACAATTCCTCAAAAACAAGACATCACACCAAACCTTTTGAAAGTTTGACAAACCACATCTGACAATTTCACAAGCAACTATTTAACCCTTTGCACTCTGATGTCCCACAAATTTTGATAGTGACACCACTGCATAAATCCTTTATGTTTGCAGTGGCGTCGACTCTTCAAAAAGACTATAATAATTTATACTCAAGTCCAATAATACCAAAAAAGATACATCTTCAAAGTTAAACTATTTTACGTAACACAATGAACTATTTCGTGTTCCTGTTCACACATTCACAGTACAAAGGTTTAACTATTCCGAATTCATCCCCGAGAAACATAAAAAGAACATCCCTCCAAAAAAGCACAAAGGGTTTGAAAATTCCACGTTCGTCAAACTTCCGAGCCGGGAATTAAAATAAAAACGAAAGTGTAGGGGATGTTTACGAGACGTTCCCCTCCCTTCCTGCTCGATTGGCGCCCGTTGCTCCCACCCTTTGTCCAGGGTAAATTTCCACGGAGGGCATCGCGACGTCCGACGGCTCGCAAATGAAATTAGCGATCGAAGCGTCGCGGCGCGTTCGAAAAAACCTCGTGACCGTAAACAGGAGAACTTCCGCCGGGAATCGCGGGTAAACGAGCCGAGCGAAGGGGTGGAAAGGGTGGTCGGGGGGGGGGAGGGGGGGTGGCTCGAGAGCGGAGGGGAAGGGACGCCGGGCGTCCCGACGCGGGGGCGGCTCGGGTAGATGCCGCTGTGGGATTTATGTTTTTAATTTAACTCCGTATGACCAACTGTCGAGCTCCGCCGAAAAAAGTGCAGGCCGAGCCATTAGCATCGCGCGGTGATATTTCGTCGAATCCGCGAAAACAATATGCTAATGGAGAACCGGGCGAGCGCGAAGAACCGATGACTCCGAACCTAGGGATGAGTTCGGGCGGGGGATAGAACGAAGCAACGGGTACGAGAACCGGAAGGGTGGAGTGGTTCGCGATTAAACATTCGTCTTCGTTTGTTATTTAACCCTTTGTGCTCGATATTTCAGCTGGAATCGAGCGGGCAACTCAGATTTATCGAATATTTCACGGACTCCTCGTATAGATAATATTGTTACGATGTTGGGCAGGACTCTAAATATTTTAGTGTACCAAGGACAAAAATATCCAAAGAAATATAAACAAGAATTAAGAAGACACAATCTTTTAAAATATACGTTCAATGCTGGATGGTGTTTATAATTATTGTTAGATGTGAGAATTAGTTATTCTAATTGTAAATCATTTCGCATTTATTTTAATTACAATGGCTTTTGGCTAATATCCATTTAAATTTATCTACTTTAGTTACACTAAAAAGTATTTGAATAATGTATTTATAGTTTGTAGAACGTCAAAAATATTTTCAACAAACATAAACGATTAAAAGTTTGTTGAGTGGCCTTCTATCGCTTTTCTGAGATCAAAGGAGCATCCCTGCCAAAGTGTCACAGTTGTTCCCTCTCAAACTGTCACTGGGCTACTCCCTTCAATTCCTGACATTACTGACTCAGTACATTTTCTCATTGAAGGAATGACATAATGAACAATGTAATAACAATGTAAAAAAATAAGCAATGACATAATTAACCTTAAGAATATGCATTCAATCCCATTCTGTGTCATTTGAGTAAATCCAAATACCAGCTCGACGAAAATAAAAAATTTGTTTAATTGACAGGAAAAGCTTTTCCCCTATGCAGTTTCTGTATCGATTCGCGTCGGTGGTATGTAATTGAAATTAATTGTGTGGTGATTACATTTTTTCTACATGCGAGCTTTGTTTTCGACGGTGGACTGTTTATTGATAGCGATCGCGTCGGCGGTCAGAAAGGCTGATTAAATTTCAGCGCAGTGCAAACCAGAAAGTATTGATTCAAGCCATAAAGACGTACCGAAGGATACGTCCAATAAACAACGATTAAAAGAGAAGAAACAATAATTTTTTATGCAATGGATTCGAAACAAAATTAACACCCTTAGGGAACGTCGCAAAGTAATGAAAGAGGAATTACTAAGAAGGTGAACAAAAATTGAAAATTAAAATGTAAACAGATATAAATATAAGTACAATTGCATTAGTATCAAGGATGTTCAATGACAATAATTTTCTATGCAATTGATTCGAAAAAAGATTAACACCCTTAGGGAACGTCGCAAAGTAATGAAAGAGGAATTACTAAGAAGGTGAACAAAAATTGAAAATTAAAATGTAAACAGATATAAATATAAGTATACTTGCATTAGTATCAAGGACGTTCAAAATTATACAAATTTTCTAATTGCAACCTGCAACTCTA